TGGCTGGTGGGTTTGAACCACCAGCCTTCTGGTTAGCAGTCAAGTACCTTAGGCACTATGCTACCAGAGCTCCTATCTTTGACATAGTATGGGACTAACTTAAGCTGGTATGAAGGGTCCCCCAGATGGATGATGGGAAGATTCTCTTATTTTTTCTCCGTGAAGGATTTGACTGAGGGACTCCCAGGTTCTTGGGCAACTCAGGGCAGTGGAAGGAGGTAGGACCCAGTGAGACCTTAGAGTCCTGCTCATTTGGGAGGAAGGGTTGGGTTAGTATTCCCACCATATTACTTCTCCACACTCATAAAGCAGGTCATTTAAAAAATATATTTCTTCCTTTATTTTAGATATATTTCTAATTCCATTTTTTTTGGAATTTATCCTTTTAATAGTAATTCAAAACTGTAAAAGGACAGAACGTGTGAAGATGTATTTATGGATAATTAGTGAAATGGAAGATGATTTCAGAACGTGGAACGCTAGGCAGCCATGAAACTGCAGGAGTCCTTGGGTGGCAAATGGTTAGAAACTTGGCTGCTAACCAAAAGGTTGAAGGGTTGAGTCCACCCAGAGGGACCTCAGAACAAAGACCTGGCTCCTTAGATGCATTAGATCGACTTCTGAAAAATTGGCCACTGAAAACTCTGTGGAGCGCAGTTCTGCTCCAACACACGAGTCAGAATGGACTCAATGGCATTCGGTGGTTATCACTATGTAGAAACTGAAAGCATATGTGGTTGGGAAAAAATGGCAAGGAAGATGGAATGATCTCTCTCTCTCTCTCTCTCTCCTTCTCTTCCCCTCTCCTCTCTTCTTCCTTTCCTTTCCCTCTCCTCTACATTTCTTTCTTTCTTTCTCCCTCTTCCCAAATCACATTATTGCTGCTATAGCGATATTTGTAGAATAAGACACCCCTAAGAAGATTTCCCTGCTTTACTCAGAAGACAGGAATATCTAATTGATCCAGTCTGTTAGGGAATAAGTAGAAGACAAGTGAATTATGAAGCGGAGTTTTCCTATTTACTGGGTAGCCTCTTCTAAACATCAACAGAACAACTAAACCAGATCAGCTGCTAACCAAAAGGTTAGAGACAGTTGGGAAGACAGGCCTGGCAATCGACTTGTGAAAAACTCAGCCACTGAAAATGCTCTGGGGCATAGTTCTGCTCTGACACATAGGGATGCCACAAGTTGGAATTGACTTGGTGGCAACTGGTTTATACGGTGGGCACGCAAAAGGGCATTCTACTTTATATGAGTGCCTGGCCATTACAGTAGAGACATGGCAAGTATCTTCATTGCTCTAATGTGCCTTGGCCTACTTCTCAGTTCCAGGCTGTTTCCTGGATAAGTTGGTCTCAGGGAAACAATCTTGGCATTAGGGAGATGATGCTGCAGGGAAACTAAGATCCTGACTCTCAAACAAAGCATAGCTATAGTAAATCCAGTCAACACCAACAAATCAATGGAAACTGAAAGCAGAGTCAAGCGATCAATAATAGTCATAAAAATACCCACGCTCGAGGCGGGGCAAGATGGCGGACTAGGCAGAAGGATTGCACAGACCCTCTTCAACAAAGAAAAGGAAAACCAATTAATACAGACACAGAAGAT